TAGCCCAGCTATACCAAATCTGTCAAGTGCTCCTAGTCAAGTCCAGCCCAAGAGGGCGAATTAAGTTCTGGATGATAGAAACCACTGAGATGACTTTGCTTTTATCGTTTATCTTCCCATTTCGTGCAATCTAGAAATCTGCCACAGTTTCCACATTGCAAGGAATCCCCAGCCAGCTCTCTGAAGCTGGATCTTCTGCCCTCTTCCATCTGAGGAGGGGTGGGATGGGTTTACAGTGAGGCAGAGTCGCTAGAGTTGAAGGCATGCCCTGTGTACTTTGTCGTGATTTTCTTTCTTGCCCCTTGTTCCTTAAGGAAGGCCAAGGAAAGTTTGTTTGGGCAAAACAACAGTGTCGTCGATGGCCACGCAGCGTGTGAGGAGCCGCAGCAGTTGGAGCTGGCTTCAGTTAGAGAAGACACTGTCACAGGGGATTATGCCTTGGTCATAAATGGCCACAGCTTGGTGAGTTCACTGCGGGCTTTTGTCCTTCCCTTTTCATTACCCCAATAATCTTCTCTTTGTGCTGTCACAATAAGAGCTCTTCTGCTTCTCGGCAAATGACAACACAAGAAACGGCACACACAGCCATTTCCTGTTGCAAAGGGAAAGGAAACTTCCAATATATATTTCATACATTATTGCTTGAACTATCACAGTGGAAGGGAGTTCTGAAGAAATAACTGTATTCACAGAATATCAATCTTGTCTGAATGGCTGTGGACCACTTAGCAGCATTTTTTAAAGTGCTTTCCTAAGGGGGAGTGTCACAGTTCTCTGTTATTTAATTAAAGTAAGGCAACTTGGTGGATGAATTGCAATTATTGCTTTGCCAATGTTTGTGATTTGCAGAGCATAACCTGACCTTCATATAATTACCACACCAAATTATTGCCATTAAGATACCTCTGGTGGTTTTTCTAAATAGCAGTGTTTTACGGCAATGCCAAACAATTTGCTTTGATTAGGAAATCTGGTTCTTGTCATAATAAAATAAACTTGCATTGTACTTTTAATGTAGTTCAGGTTCCAAGTCTTGAACAAATATCAAAACACTCTTCTGAGTTTCTAATTTAGAATACAAAAGCTCCGATTGCATTTTAGTGAAATTATCATTTATGTGCACAAAGAATTAATCTCACATCTTTCTTTGGCTTTGATGATCGTTTTTCACTTTGGAGTTTGGAAAATAAATGTTTCTTCCGAAGACATTTTCTTAGAGGACAAAAGAAGTTGGACATGAGTGCATTGTACTTTTCCCCTTGTGACTATCTGTCTGTTAGCTCTTAGCGCTCCACACATTATCCAGCTGGATTCCAGACGTAATGATGTGTTGCCTTCTACACCATGGAAAGTTACAGAGCTCAGTCTCAGGCCAAGCTCAGCTGAAAGTTGGTCCGGATGACACGAATTTCTCCTTTGCGCACATGAGCAGCAACTGACAATTACAAGGCTGTCTGCTGGGACGTGGAGCCGGTCGGCGGCCTCCACACGGGGCTGCTCCAGGAGCAGAGTACGGCGGCGCTTCCTTATGCGCTGTGCTTGGCCCCTCCTTCGGGCGTAAGGAGCCCAAAGCTTGGTGGGTCGGGGCGCGCGGGTGATCCTGCGCACTGCTCCTGCTCTGTCCCTGAATTTTGTTGAAAGATGGAGCTAAGAGGGGTGCCAACCAGGAATCCCTTTAGCTTCAAAGTCTGACTCCAAGGAAACCATGAAATGCCATTTTCATCTAAGGAGAATTGGCTGAAGCTTTGCGAGTATTACCAGAAGTCTTTGTTGAACCACAATCCCCATTTGTTCCAACGCTGGCACTCTGTGGAGTGTAACTGAGCCTCCGTTTCTCAGGCGAGTCTAGTTTTCTGCTTGTTGAGTACAAAGAAAGAAGAGCAGAGACAAAAGGGGAGTGGTCTGCGGAAGACAGCCAATAGCAGTGTTTCTCTTTCAGAAAGGAGGTGGGGCAGGGGAGATCACTTATTAGAATAAGCGCTTGCTTGGCAAGCTTAGGGTTCTGAGTT